TTTTTTTTTTTTTTGGTTTTTCGAGACAGGGTTTCTCTGCATAGCTTTGCGCCTTTCCTGGAACTCACTTGGTAGCCCAGGCTGGCCTCGAACTCACAGAGATCCGCCTGGCTCTGCCTCCCGAGTGCTGGGATTAAAGGCGTGCGCCACCACCGCCCGGCCCCTTACATCTTTTAATGGTGTTATTTGTTTTGTATTTTTGACCTTTGCCTGTAATATGCTATAGAAAAGTGGTCATGTCTAGATGAGCTTCTAAATGTGTCTTGTGTTTAGATATCCATTCTTTTCTCTAGATTTGAAAAATTTCAAGTAATTATTTCATTGAGTGGACTCTGTATGCCATTAGTTTTTACCTTAGCTTCTGATATTATACCATGAATTTTTGGTATCATGATGCTATATATCCCATTTAGCTGTGTTATCTATCTATCTATCTATCTATCTATCTATCTATCTATCTATCTATCTATCTATCTATCTATCTATCTATTTTTGAGGCAGGTGCCCATGTAGATAGACTAGGCTGCCCTCAAACTTTCTACACAGCCCAGGACAGCCTTGATTTCTGATCATCCTTTCTCCACCACCTAAATGCTGGGATTACAGGCATGTTTCACCAAACTAAGCTCATGTGGTACTGGGGATACATGCAGGGATTCACTTGTATTAGGAAATCTTTCTTCTGGAATAGAGTCCTAGCCACTCTCCATTTGTTTTCTTTATTAATATTTGAATGTCTTATGTTCTCAAAATTTTTCTACATATTTTATCTTTCTTCTATTTGTTCAAGGGTGATTTGGCCATACTTTCCAATGTGATTTATATTTGATTCTTTGAATATTTTTTAAAATTTCCAACAGTTCTTTTTCTCTTCAAATTCCAGTTTCCATACTGAATTTTTCTTACACAATGTTGACATTTTTATGTATATTATTCATCTATTCACACACTTTACTGAGAGGTTTTCCTCTGTGTTGCTCATACTCTTCTCCACATCCTAAGTTTGCACCCTCCTTGAGGTCTTTGATCACTTTTACAAGTGCACTGTTAAAATCTTCACCAATCATTTTACCTGCTACATCACCTTTGAGGTCAGAAGTTGAGGAGTTAATGACTTTGGGAGCAGTCATGCCACTTTGTGTTTCTATGTTTCTTTTCTTTCTATGTTAAGATTGAACATATGTTGGTTTCAGTTCTGATTTAATGGGGAGATCATCTTGTGGAGCAGCCTACTATTGAGGGCTTTGTCTCCTGTGCCACTCAGAGGAAACAAACTACCATAATAGCCACAATGCCAAAACATATAAAATCCTGATACACTTAAAGTCAAATGGATTAATGTCCACTAATTAATCTTTAATGTCAGAAAATAGAAAATAACAAGACATATGAGGGTTAAGCTATGAAATTATTATTTACCTGTACATTATATATGTATTTATAAAATTGTTTCAAGTAAATGTAGGAATAGTGAAAAATGAAATGAAGGAGGAAAAGAAGTGAAAATGGAGAAGAAATGTTATATAAATTAAAGGAAAAATAAGAGGATTGGAGAATAATGTTATGGAGGGGAACAGGAAAGAGCAGATATTAGAAAACAATCTAAGATAAAGAAAGCAAATAACAAAAAGATTTTCCAGTTATGAGAAAATTCAGAAAAAAAGATGCATGCTAGAATGTAAATAAAAAACATGAATATTGAAAATGATGAGATTAAATTAATAAAGATGATCAAACACTGAAAAAGTAATTAAATAAAATTCAATAAAAGTATAAAGGAAAGTACATTTTTTAAATATCATAAAGTGAAAATACTTCCAAAATTACAGTAAAAAGGACAAAGCTGAACTATAAGGAGAAGATAGAAGAAAAAAGGAAAAAAGACAGAAATATTGGAGCAACTTTTGGGCCTCTTAAAATGTGAAGACTGTAGGGATGTGAATGTGTGAGGATCAGGGTACCCTGTGAAGTCTTGGATCCTTGTGCTTCATGCTTGTGTTAACCTTGGATTGTATACATATCTGATGTGCACAAATAGTGTCTTCAGTTTAGTTGGTTCTCTTTCATTGAGTAACAGGAACCCCATTTGACATACTGAGTTTGGCCTTCTATGAGCTAGGCAGGTTCGTTTACCCTCTGAGACTCTATGGCTTCTGGAGGTGTCTAATGACTGATCTAGGAAATGTCTCCAAGGGCAGGGGAAGTCCAGGAACTAACTATAGCACTTATATCTCTATAGATATGGGCTCTGCCTTTGTCTATTCAAGATTTCCCAAGTATGAATCATTTATCTGTAGGGATGCACTTCAGAATTGTTGGACTCTACAACACTGAATAACCAATAGGTGGTTCCAGAAGTTGAGCCACTTTTTGACCTCAAGTTCACTGCTATCAAATTCAAGTATTATGTTGCACTGATGTAATCTGCTACTACCCCAGAAGGTCTAGTTTTATGCTAGTCTACTATAACAGAGCTTCCCGAAGACTGTTCTTTTAGTTTGTCGGTATTTGGCCATCTGCTCTCCACCACTGCTTCCCAGGGTTGTTTCTCACCATTAATCTGTTGTAGGTTAAACTCAGGCTCCCTGATAAGTAGATCTTCCTTGTTCTTAGATGACAAGGTAGCTCAGTTATAAGGATCCATCTTCTAGTAGCAACTAGCTACTACCATGTACACTGATTATTTTGTAAAAGAATAATACTTCTACCCTACATTGCATATTCAGCCCCAGAACAGGTAACCCAAGTTTTCTCTTTAGCTGCTACTAAATTGTAAAAGGAATCAAGAAACCAGAGCCTGATGCTTGGAAACATGGTACTGTAGTTAGAATTTTCTTTGGGCACCGACCAACTCCCAAATAAAGACACAGAGGCTTTTTATTAATTATAAATGCCCAGCCTTAGCTTAGGCTTGTCCCACTAGCTCTTTTAACTTAATTTAATCTGTTTCTCTCCATCTATGTTTTGCCTTTTAACCTTTGTTTCATTCTGTATGTCCCACTTTCCTGCTTCTCCGTGTCTTGCTGGCTGGCATCTCCTTCTTGTCTCCCTTTCTTTCCTCTTGAGCCTAATTTCCTCCTCCTACTTGTTCTCCCTGCCTGGAAGTTCCACCTATATCTTCTACCTCATTATTGAGTGTGCAGCCTTTTATTAAACCAATCAGGTGCCTTAGGCAGGCAAGCTAAAACAGTAACATATCTTTACATAATTAAACAAATATTCTGTGACATAAACCAATGCAACACATCTTCACATAGTTAAAAAATGTAACACATCTTTGCATAGTTAAATAAATATTTCATGACATGGTACCTGAACACACTCAGAGAAGCAAGGGTGGGGAGGAAGAAAAAAAGGAAAGCTGAAAAAGGGGAAGTCATGGAAGTGAACTGATAAAAGCCTATAAAGAGAAGTAAACTTACAGGCAAGGCACACCAAGAGATTTCCAGAGCCTACAGTCAGTGATGAGGGTCTCACCCTCAGGGGTAGGACCTGGTAGGCCCTAAAATACTGGATAAAGGGTATAGTCAGTACTACTCAGGCATAGGCATTTGCTGTGGGCAGAATCCTGATGGCCAGATGGCATCTCCAGCCCTGATCTGCAGGAGTCCAACAATAGTTTGCTGATATACTGAGTTTGAAGCCAGAGCCTGATGCTTGGAAACATGGTACAGTATGAGCTGGGCTATTCTGGAGCCCTGCACCACAATGTCACCGGGCCCAAAAGATGCTAGGCAGTATTTGAGCCCATGGGATCAGCTCTGTGGTGAGCATGCCTGCATCAGCCTGTCTGAGACAAATGCCATTTCAGCTTGCCAGCAGGTACTGTGATAAGCTTTCCCACCACCTCACTATTAGCATATATGGTTTCTGATGCATTTTTCTTCAGGATCTCAGCTCATATTACTAAAAGTAGTCAAGAAAAGACTGCTGTAGAGAAACTAATGGGCCTAAGCAACTTAGTAGAGACACAGCTCAGGAGAGCGTCTCCCAGACAATTCACTCAGGGAGCCTCAGAATCCTGCTAATGGGAGTGTTTGGACTAATCACAATCATTTGGTCATTTAGTTAGGACCAATCATAATTATTGTGCCAATTACAACAATCATAGTCACTAAGGCTTGTATTTTGAATCAATACTAATCACTGTCTCTCATCTTACTACCAGTCAGAGTTATCTTTACACCAGGAAACTATTCTGACTCTGGTCAAGGTGGAAATGATTCTTTGAAGCTTGTGATTAAAAGTTTGCTATAGACTGTCTCTTATACATTCGCTGAGGCTGTGCTTTGGAGAGCTAGGACAATCAACTTCCATCTTTTGTATAGTTGTCTGGAGGGATCCTTCGAGCTTTCAACATGACTGGTGCTGATATAGGGCTAATCCAGTTGGCTGTTTGACTCATAAACATTTTACTTAAAGTGTTTCAGGAAGAAGAGAGAAAGTTCAATACCTACTAATTAAGGAGTCAAATGGTTCAGTCCACAAGATTATTGATTATTTACATGAAAAATGAATGTCAGGAGGGCTGACAATACAAAGTTAAAAATTGTATTATGAATACTACTAATGATTTCAACAAGGCTTTAACATTCTCTCTCTCTCTGTCTCTCTCTCTCTGTCTCTCTGTCTCTCTGTATCTCTCTCTGTCTCTCTGTCTCTGTCTCTGTCTCTCTCTCTCTGTGTGTGTGTATGTGTGTGTGTGTGTGTGTGTGCTTAGTGCAAGGGATAGGAGTCACCTTCATATTTCTTAAGGCTCTTCATACTACTGTGAGCTTCAGAATTGTATGCAAGAACTGAAGAACAGATTCCTGCCTCTACTTCCAAATGGTTCCACTAAAGGGAACATAGTGAAGCCTAATCATGCGTACTTTTAAACTTGAAGCTCATTGACATAGATTGATTCTCTGAACCTTGGGCTACATTTTGAGTGACATTGACTTATAAATGATCTGGGAAGAATGTGTGAATGTTAACAATATGTAAATTGTGTTTTTCAGAAGAATAAATTCAACTGTACTAGAAGAGCTCAGTGCCCAGGAACCAATGTCAGCTCTATACAGATACAAGGTGATGCTGATTATTTCATCAACCATCTTGGAGTTCCAACTGTGCAGTTTGCTTATGAGGACATCAAAGCATTAGAGGTAATTGTTTCTAAACATGTAAAATACTCACACACAATGTAGCAGATGTGCAGATTAGATTTTAACATAGTTTCGTATCCATCTTCCATACCAAATAGGTCACTATAGGAAAGGGCTTTATTGTGAAATAATCTTGTTTTTCAGAGGCTTTGAAATGTATTTGAAAACATGAACTTTAAAGGGTGTTCAATTCAATTTAGAAAGATTTACACTGTCACTCACATTTTCACAGAGAAGTTCACAAAAAGAAACATCAGTTGTTGGGTTAACATCAAAACAAGTGTAGTTTTCAGTGTTCCAAGAAACACATAGAATGTGCAGAAGACTCTCCTCTCTGACCAAGGGAAAATACATTTCATGTGCTCTGCATTAATCTGAGTCTTGTGGATTAGCTCTCCAGGATTGTCAGTAGTTTGTATACCTGAAAATATTTTCCCCAAAGAATAACATGAAATCATGATTCATCTTCATTAACCTTGTTTCTCCATCCTTATGGACCTGAGTCCTTCCCTGTTTCTCAGAATCTAAACTTTCTTGCACACATTGTTCATGTGTCTATGAAAGGTTCTGGAACACCCTGATTTAGAAAATTATTACATTGAGAACATACTGATTACAAAACAGAGTGAAGTATAATATGGTCCTTAAATGTAGATATGTCCAGAAAGAGTATTTAACTTATGTTTGCATAGACACACCTCCAGCTATGCAGTTCCTAAGTTCTAGTTGACTTGGCACTGTTTAATGTTCTACACTCTAGTTTCCCTGGAGATAGTGATCATTATCCACTTAAACTCATGAGACATCAGACTCCAGGAGAATCCTATTGTGGGAAGATTAACTCTTTGGTAATGTAGAGTAATGCTTCAGATTTACTTGTTAAGATTTTCATCCACCATCTTTAAACAGATTTTAAAATTATTATTATTGTTGTTGTTTGCATGAATATGGAAGGTGTACTTGTTGTAGCAGGCATGTAGAGTGTAAGGAGAAATTTCAAGAGTAGGTTCATTCCTTTCGAAGTGGAATCTGGGACTGAGCAAGCTCCTCATGCTTATAAGGCAAATGCTTTCATCTGCTAGTCATCTTTCTGCCTTCATTCACCATATTTTAAAAAATTGGACACATGTAGACATGGTGGTTCTTTTACATAAACTCAGTATATGCACATTAATAATCACCTGTGCTGCTACCTGAAGCCGTGTTGATGTCCTTGGCTGTGCTGCCGCTGAGCGCTATGATGGTGTCCATGGTCTGTGCAGCCTCAGAGGGCCGAGTTGATGTCTGTACTACTACCAGAGACCATACTGAAGTCTTTGGCACATTCAGCTATCTCCAGAGACCATGTATAAGTCCATGATCTGTGCTCCCACTGATTGTAAAGGACAAGAAGCTACGTTTGCTGTGGTATTGATGACTGCAAACTCACAGTTGAGGAAAAGGGACAGAGAAGGCATCTGTGACAACCCCTACCTCCCCCACCAAAAGAAACAATAGCTTAGAAAGTCACTGAAGAGAACTCTTAAAAAGTGTGATAAAGATGCTGAAGTGTAGCTATCCACAGTTGACCGCTTCTGGAAGGGGTGTGGTTGCTGAAGGATTCAGTTTTCCGTAAGGGGTTTGCCACTGGGAGTTTGGATATGCACCAGTAAGTATATGGGCAACACAAATTGGACTTTTCTCCTCCTCCTCCTCCTCCTCCTCCTCCTCCTCCTCCTCCTCCTTCTTCCTCTTCCTCCTCCTCCGCCTCTTCTTTTCCTTCTCTTCCTCTTTCTTCTTCTGGTGCTGCTTCTTCTTTTTTTTTTCCAAGGTGTCAGGTCACAAGGGTTGTGGGGGCAAGCCTGGGAGGACTGGGAAGTGAGTGAGCTCAGGGTTCATGATAGGAAATTCCCAAACAAAAATAATGTGGAAAAGATAGATATATTAAGAAATAACTGAAATTTTCCTGCACAATACCTATACATTTCTCTCATCATCCCCCAGTCCTAGCACACCTAGCTCTTGTCTTACTCTCAAGTTGATTGATAGCTTCTGTCTTGTGCACCTAACTTATTTTGGTTAAGTTTTCAGCCACAAGTATTCTAGCACAACTGTGGGACTTGAGTAAATTCCTACTAGACAAATTACTTAAGGTCTTTTGGATTTATTTTTAGGATGAACTGCTTTGGTTCACTCTGGAGCACACAGATTATATGATATTGTATGTGACTAAGGCTTAGTTAACACTGTGCTTATGCTAAGACCCCATCAACTACCAACCACCAACCATAGTGATTAGCACGATTTCTTGTCAGGATGTAGGGTCCAGAGATTAGTGGAACATTTCTAGATAACTTGGAAGCATATATCAGTGTGTGAGGTAACAGCTGTTCATTGTTAAGGTTCACAGAGGTGGGCTGAGATAATCAGTTGGAGAATGTGGGGAAGCAGATGAGAGAAAGCAGACTGGAAATGAGGTGCAATGAAGCCTCTAGGGGATGCTATTATCACTGGGACACTCCTGAGGCCAATCTGTCTCCTATAGAATGGCCTTACTCTGAAGAATGCAACAGTGTTTCAAACTGTACTTAGAATGCCTAACTCTTGTCTTCCAAATCATTTTTTATTATATTTGTTTCTACAAAAGTAATTAGTAGTGAGTCCCCCTTGCTTTAATGACAAATGACCTTGCTTATATTGATTTAGTGGGGAGGTTTTAAAAATAGATTTGTCCCTTGCAAAATAGGGTTGCTTATGATGAGATAATTTTGTATGAACTCTCTAAAGAACAGATATTAACCTTTACTTTCTGTGTTAACCTATCATAAATATTTGTACACAGCTATTATTAAGAGGAATTTTAAATATTGCAAAGCTTCATGTAGGATATTAAAATATTTTACTATGCCCATTAGTAAAGTAGTCAAGGAAATTAGAGCCTTGTCGCAAATTTGCCTTGCTTTCAAAATTCAATTTTCACATGTTTTCTTTAGAGAAGTGTACCAGAGGCCTGGGAATCAAAGACCCTGTTTCTGTAGATCTGTCACTTCTCAGGTTCCTTGTGCATCTGTGCCTCTGACACTTTACCTATATCTAAGTAAAGAAAATTGACACCAATAGTATCATCCACTATTATCATTTGAATTCAGAATTTCCCCCACAGGCTCATGCTTTCCTGAGTTGGTCCTCAGCTTGTGACACTAATATGGAGGTTGTATCATCCTTAGAAGGCCTGATTTGATTGGCCCAGTAGGTGTGGGCTGGGACTTGTAGCTGTTTCTACCTTCTTTTCTTTGCTTCCTCTCCTGCTGCCATGTAAGGAATCTCTAACATATATTTCCACCACCATTAACTGCTCTGGACCTTCCTTGTTTCTATAGATTGTAATACCTCTAAATATGTGAGGAAAAAAATGAATACATCTAAAATAAAAATAAGCTCTTAACCCAACACAGGTAAAAACCAACAATACTGACCAATAAAACTAGAATAATTATAACAATGTACCATTTTTAAAAATGCTATGATTGTTACTCTTGCCATTTGGAAATTATTATTAAATACAAAAGGATTACATGAAAACATGTACTGCACTAACAGGGCAGGCAATCTAACACCTGGTGACTAAATCAATACTAGGAAGGTTGCATGGAAAACATGGATCCACTGGGTAAAGAGAGATTCACACTTTGAGCAGGATGGAATACACTAAGTTTTGGATTTCCTCATGCTACAAAGATCAGCGTGCAACTCAAAATTTATTTTTTAATTTTAAAAGTCTCCACTTAGTATTTTTGGACCAAAGTTGACTATACTTAACTGAACTGGTAAAAAGCAAAACCCTGGGTACATGGGACCTCTTTACAGCTATAACAATTAAATCACGTGAAAGATCCTCTGAGATCACAGCAGTTCCCTGAGACACAGACTCTGCCAGTTCTGATTGGACCAAGAGCTTCAGTTGTACCAAGACTTCCCATTGGAATAAGAGTGCCCTTGGACCTAAAGAGGCTCCATCAGGCACAGACACCTTTTGCACCAATTGGAGGAAGAGATGGGTAGAAGCCAGTGCAAAAATACAGTCAAGAACATAAAGACCAATATGGCACCACCAGAAGCTTGTGGTTCTATATCAGCAAGACCTGAAAATCAAAACACAAAAGAAGCTGAAGTAATCGACCTTAAAAATGATTTTAAGATGATGATAGAGGTCTTTAAAGAGGAAATGAAAAATTCCCTTAAAGGAATCAAGGGAAAGACAAACAAAAAAAAATGGAAGAAATCAATAAATCCCTTAAAGAAAGCCAAGAAAAAGCAATCAAACAGGTGAAGGAAACAGTTCAAGACTTGAAAACTGAAATAGAGGCAATAAAGAAAACACAACCTGAGGGAATGCTGGAAATGGAAAACCCGAGTAAATGAACAGGAATTAAAGATGCAAGCATAACTGACAGAATGCAAGAGATGGAAGAGAGAATCTCTGACATGGAAGATAAGATAGAGGACATGGATTCATCAGTCAAAGAAAACATTAAAGCCAATAAAATCATAGCACAAAGCATCCAGGAAATCTGAGACACCATAAAAAGACCAAACCTAAGAATAATAGGGATAGAAGAAGGAGAAGAATACCAGTTCAAAGGCACAGAAAATATAACAAAATCACATAAGAAAACTTTCCCAACAAAAAGAAAGAAATACAAGAAGCTTACAGAACACTGAATAGACTGGACCCCACCCCCAAAAGTCCCCTTGCCACATAATAATCAAGCCACTAAACATACAAAGCAAAGAAAAAAATATTAAGAGTTGCAAAGGAAAAAGGCCAAGTAACATATAAAGACAGACCCATCAGAATAACACCGACTTCTCAATGGAGACTCTGAAAGCCTTTACAGACATTATGCAGACACTAAGAGACCATGGATACCAACCCAGACTATTATACCCAGCAAAGCTCTCAGTCACCTTAGATGGAGTAAACAAAATGTTCCATGATAGAACTAGATTTAAACAATACC